ACACACACACACACCACAGTCTTAATCACAATCATCTTCGCTATCGTCTCCTTCTGGCTCGTAAACTACCAAAACACCCGCAACTGGCTTCTTCACCTTCGTCATGTGGTTATTCCTTGACCTGCTCGCCGCCGAATCTCTCGTCGTCCTCATTGCCTCTCTCTTCCCCAACTTTGTCATTGCCCTCGCCCTCACCGCTTTCACCAATGGCCTCTGGATGTGCGTGGGCGGTTTCATGGTGTCCCCTACCGTTCTCAATGTCTTCTGGCGCTACGTTTTCCACTACATCGATTACCAGGCCTACGTATTTCAGGGCATGATGGTTAATGAGTTTGCGACGAGAACTTTTGAGTGTGGGTCCGGTTGTCAATGTATGTTTGCCAGCGACCTGGCGTCGGAGTGTAAGATCGCTGGCGTAGGGGTGCTACAGTCATTCGGGTATGCGACGGGAAGGACTGGGAAGTGGGTAGGCATTCTGCTCGCTATTACGGTGGTGTACCGGATTTTCGGATGGGGTGCGCTGGTGTTGAGGAAGAGGTAGGAGGGACATTGGGCTACAGCCCATGGATGGTGCATCAGTGGGTCAGAGAGCGAGAAAAAAGTCAAGCATCCGATCCACATCAGCTTCATACCCTGATCTTATCCTTGTATGTATGCATGTTCTGCACATATGATTTATGTATCTATTTTAATACCTCTCTTTTTGCCGAAATATTATGCATAGATGTTTCCTCTAGTCGCAGCCACATTCGAGAGTCATCCATAGGAAATGGAGTTACTACTGATATTATCTGAGCTTTGGTCTCCTCTGAGTCAATGTTCAATCAAGCTGCAGATGAACAAGCCTGTAGATCTCCAGCACACACTTTTTATTATGCAATAGAATACAACAGACACCTCTCGATTGCTCTCCTACCCACTGCTGTGTCCCAAAGAACAGCCGGTGTGTTGCATGTCGCAGGGCCAAATGAAATCGCCTCCTCAAGCTCAGGCGACCTCCAGCACATGCGTGTAACCCCCTAAATCACGGCTCCTCTCTTAATAGACAGCTATCGATCATGGTTCACGCAGGCCCTAGTAGTGAAACAGGCGAAATGCCTAAACTCCTTCCTCAATAATACTCTTCTGATATCACATTTCCCTTTCCAACTGTATTTACATTTTTCCAGCCCTGGTGAGCAATCGGTAACTAACTTACAGCTCAATTACATGAAATAACTACAAAACTCCGTTCTCGTTAATAATCGATTTACATCCTTCGGCTTCTTCGCGAGCCATCAATCCCCATGGTTGTGGATCCGGTGCCCGAGGCATAGTATCTCTGCCGCCGCTGAGTGGTGGCGGGATCCAATATTTTATGACGGATTTAGACCCGTATTTCATCGGGCTCCAGTGCGGGGCCAAAACCCGAGTCTTAAACATCGCCGCCTGCTTGCTTGCTTGCTTGTGTCTTACACCTGAATGAGATCCTGAGTTAAAGACCTTGTAACAAATCAGAAATAGTTTCCATATCAATATATAAAGCTAAACTTTATATTACTGATGTTTTTCTTTTCTCCCTTTTTTGGTTGGGTCGTTTTGGCCCTTGGGTTCTTCCTTTCTTTGCACAGATCCATTCGGTTTCAAATCACGGTGGATCCGTGGGTGAGATGGATCCCAAATGATGATGTCATGGGTCGGCCGCGAGAAGCCCGTCATGGCTGGATTTTCGAATTTTAATTGTTAAGATAACAAGAGCAACGAACCGGTGGAAGACACAAAAGTAGGAGAAGAACAGAGAAAAACAGAACAGCAGAAGGGAAGAATCTTTTTTCTCTAGCAGGACAAACGTTGTGGCCTCCTGCGTGTAGTTTACGTAGGTCTGTAACCAATCCATTCCTCAAAAGAGCTTGGTGATTGGTTTGCTTGGAGTTTTGAAGCAGGTCAAGGTTTCCAAGCATTTTGATATTGCATGGCTTGCTGCAGAAGTGCACGTTGTGAGGAGCGGATATCGCTTAATTGGAACCGGCAGATATAGGTATCTCAGCAAAAATAACCGAGGAGTAAGGAGAAAAATAATACAAGTCAATCGAACGGGAATCACTTGAGAGGGTAAACAATTTCTTTTCTGTTCTTTTCTGTTCTTTTTATGTATTTCTTTCAGCCATTACCCCGTATTCTCATTCCTCCTGATGCCGGAATAATCAGAAACTATACCGGCATGTCAATTACTGATTATTTTTTTTCTGTGTTAAAAGAAATTCCCTAAATAACAAAAGTGGGAAGAATATGAGGAAGAAGAAAACAGAAATACCAACACCAAAACACTACATAGGGTCCATCCTAATATCACCCAGCCACATATCACTGCTGAGTAGCGAGTTAACATCCGGGCCTGGGTCGGCCAAGTCCTCTGCAGCCGGCAGCACACAGATCTCCAAAACCTCCCTCGCCAACATCTTGATATGCCACATAACCTGATGCGCCAGCGCCCACGTGCGATCCAGCGCCTTGAGTTCCCCGACAATCAGCGCAATGCGGTCCCGACGCGGTTCGATGGTCGTCCCGACATTGACGGAGCAGGCGCACAATTCAACGACCGCGCCAAGGACAAGGCCGCAGATAAAAAAAGGAGTATGTCTAAGGAGAGGGGAACGGATGGAGCCCAGTGCAACCATCCCATTCGCGGCCTCGAGCGCTTTGGCGGCGTGTGTGAGCGTGTGTGACGTTGGTGGGAGATACGTTCCCCGACGGGCACAGGCGATACTGGCATTGGCGGTTGGTGAGGCCATCAGACAAGACCTTGGGAGATGGACATATATGGAGGCACAGTGGACGAGCATGTAAGCGCGGAACAGCACCTGGTCCACAGTCCCGTCAATGCATAGGGCATTGGGTCTGTCTTCTGGGGTATGGCGGAACCAGCTGCCAATGTTGGCCTCGAGAGACTCTACTTGGTCCCGCACGTTGTCTTCGAGTGTGGCACCCAGAACTACTCCCCTCCTCAACAGGTGAGTTGCTTCAACAGCGTAGCAGAAGGATGAGTATTTGGGTTGGTCTTCGGCGAAGATACGGTTGTAGAATTGGGTTACCGATGGTGGGTCAACGAGAGAGATGCCCGTTGAGTAGCTAACATCTTCGCTGGGAAGTCGAACATCCATTGTCAAATTTCCGATTTTCATGGTACAGTGGTCAAAAGCACCGAACATGACATCTGTCATGTAAAGTTCCCACCACGTTCGTCGGAGACTCTCTTCACGGACAAAATTATGGCCTGCAAGTGTCTCCACGAATGATTTCCTGTGCATACCCAGTTCAATGGCTAATGTTACCGCAATAGAGAATGAGGAAATTGCCTCTTCGCGGTCATTTCGCGCATGGAGTACCGTTGCGAAGATAAGGAGAGCTTGAACTCTCTGGTAGGACCATTCCGGATCACTTTCAAGGGCTTTCGCAGCAGCCAATTTGTATGCATCAGTAGACACTTCAAAAGCAAAATGCGCGCCAACAAATTTCATTACCGCTTTCAAACAATATGGAAAAGGAGAAATGAAATGTAGTAGGTGGGCAGGAGGCAGTATGGGATGAGAGTCGTGGAAAAAGGCGTAATAAAAATCAACAAGGTATGCATCGCTCTCATCGGAGGATGGATAGTCATCCGAAAGGAGGTTGTTGCGACGTAAAATCCCTTGATCTAAAACTGCTAGTGGTGACTGATCCGATGATACTGTGGATAAATTGCCCGGGTCGATCGAATTGTCCTGAGCTGCCCATTCAGGAGTCTGCACGACATTGTTGAAATCGAAGCTATTCGCCGATTGTGATGTTTGAGTTTGACTGCTGTAAGACTGGGCGCCAGAGCTACGTGGAGAGCTCGTAGAAGAGGTCCTCTCCCCAATAGTTGGCTTCGGGGTGGACCTGTAGCCCCGGCGAGAAGGAGTGTACTCGCAAAACGAGCGTGTTTTACGACACCGGCTACACACCGGGTGTAAGCCGTCACACTTCAAATGCTTTTTCCGACAAGCACGACATGCGAGCGGGATTGGAGATGAGGTTTGCAACGATTTCCTCATTGTACTGTACATGCACTGCAGTTCGGACAAAGAAAATTGAAAACAGGTAGTTATAGCAAGATATGTATGTATTATGTGGTAAAAGAGAATGGAGCTCACACAATTCAACAACAATATGCCCTGCAAGGCATATTCTTGCTTTTACCTAGGTAGATGATGTTTTGTAGGCTGTTGAGCTGTTGAGCTGAGCATTAACCAGGAGATATATAGTGGAATTGTGGCCAAAAATTGGCCGGGGGGAGGCGAATCCAGCCATTCCCTCGGTATTCCAGGCAGCTTGTTCTCAATCCCAACCATCCTGAAGCTGGTTTGAAATTGATCCAAAATTCAGTCACAAAACAATCTACCCTTTAGCTGTTGTTCTCTTCACGCTGAGTTCGAAACTCCATTCACGCTGGCGATCACGTGAGAGCGATCCAACGTTTCCAATGTTTGGAAATTATTCCAACCATCCATTGGACGATCTGTGGTGCGACTTTGGTAGAAGAGCAACAAGCAAACATTAAGTAATTAGCGGAAGCGCCATGGACTCGTCAATTTCGTGTCCGGAAGTTTGGAGGAACATCCAATGTATCAGACTGCATGCAAGCACTGCGTTTTTTTACCTTGAATGGCCCTTGGAGCAGCACACCGATCTCCGCGCGTCTCTCGTTTCGAGGGTGCGAAAGGCCAGTGGCTGACGAAGAGATATCCGATATTTCAGATCATGGATCTTATTTCTGAGGATTTTGGAGTACTGATGATGATATCCCCCATGTCCTGCTCTATCCAGAGCATCATTTGGTAGATCAGAGTGGGAGGGACTCTTAACAACAGAAGGTAATTAATGGGCTTCAAATGCTCAACAATCGCGTGTCAGCTGGATTCTTTAGTTAACTACCACTCTGCTCGGCCAGCCCATGGCTTCTATCTCATGCTTCAAGGTCGCAAAAGTGCAGGGGGCGATCTCACCAACATTGGTATGAGGAGCGATTTCGCTCCTTGTTTCCATGATAGGGCCTGTGATGTAGACGAGGTCTGGCAGAAACCCGTTCTATCACCCCATGCCGTAGTTCCTACGAGTCTGTAAGGTAGTTAGTTACAGTGAGGTTAAACCACAGTTTACTTCACCAACAAAAACCTCTACAGGCTCTGCAAGGATATCGGCGTAAGAATACAGACAAAAGGAGTCAAACGTATCATATTTCTCATGAATCAGCGGCTGCCTTGGCAATTGGGGAAATGCGAGAAATATATATGCCCTGGGACAGATGCTGATACGCTCAACCACTTATTGGAGTCAAAAAATGCCACATATCTTTTTCTCGCATCAACCTCTCTCAATGCGGATTCTAGATTGCCAACAGCCTTTGATGCAAGTTTGCGATGTCTTTTTCAAACTTATTCCCAAATGTGAGTGATTGCCAGTCCTATTGTTCTGTTTTAAATTCCTATTATTGTGTGGCCTTGCATTTATCTTTGGTCCTGCGCTGCTTCTTACTAAAAGATGGCTGTTCTAATCGGAATATGTTGTTACGATCCTCGATTTAAATATTCCATCCAATCATTACGCGCTTGAGGTTCCGGGCAATCCTATACTGTATTCACACAATGGAAGAATTCTCTGATAGATTGTTTGTATGTATTTACACGATATCTCTGGAGACAACCCCATTTGGGGAATAAAGAAGTTGTTTGGCTTCACAATTGTAAGAGTCCATCATCCCTGGTTTTTGCTGCCTCCAAGTAACTATTTCATGACAAGCTTCTATCATTTAACGGGCCTCAAGATCTCAGAAGACCAGTGATATTTAAGATTCCGAAAGATAAAGCGTATGGAAGTCTGAAGGTGACAGATTGTACTGTGGATACTGTACATTGGGATAAGTCTCTAGTAACCTTGAAGTAATTCATCCCAGGGTTACTAACAGGCAGTTAGTCTGACTCGGGGCCATAGGCATCCACAATATTCAATCAATTCCGTTTACCTAACTGGATCCAAAGTACGGAATATGATGTGAACATGGCAACTGAGCGGATAACCAAGAAAACGGGTCCAAGGTAAGAAGAGGAGGCAAATCAGCATGATCTCAAAAACACTTGAGGCATTGTGGCTTTAAGATGGATGGCAGCTGTCACGTAACTAGAGCAAAGTATGGAATGTTGGTTAGTTGGTGTGGAGGCCGGAGCTGTTTGAATGAGGACCTTGGTATCACCCGCAATACGGAACAACTAGTTATATACAGAGATGAATCTCCTTCTCCTCTCTCTTATTTGATTCAGCTATCAAACTTCATCATACGATCGCTCATTCCTGCGCTATTCTGCGCCCGGGACGTCCTTCTATATTGTCAAGTTCACCTCACTAGTCCGTATCAATCGCATCCGTACAACTGCTATGATATAGTCAGTTGAGAGCTTCCATCAACACTCTGTGACAACCACGACCCAGCACGATGATTCAGAAGGCTTGAAAGATATAAAGACCTGAATAGTTGAGGTATGAGGCCGTCAATTAGCCTCGGCAAGGTGACTAAAATTTCTCAACTGATGCAGCGGTCCCGAAGCTCACGCCCCATGCTGAACGAATGACAAATGTCAATTTCTCATAATTCAAGAACAGCAGCGAAATCGTGCTCGCTGCCCCGAGCTGGCTTGATTGGCTGAGGATCTGATAAGCATGATCACTGTCATTTGACGATGTGTGGCGGGAAAAAACGAATAAGAAAAATCCTTCAGGACAAGAAACAACGAGTTCATTATGCAGGAGCTGAAATCTTTTTCTGAAAACTTTTGACTGTCGCGAGCTTGGGACGGGGGGTATTTGGAATTCCCTCCCGTGAAACGACCCAACGCTTTAGTGCAACCTCACATTGGACACTTTCATGCATATTTTTAGCTCCGACCTACCTCCGTACTTTGATTGACATGAACAGGGAAGAATTGGCGACGTAAACTGGTAGGGATTCGACTGGAAATAGGCGTCTGGCAAGAGATTAACTTCCCCCATGAACTGCTTGATAGTTGTTTCTCGTTGCAACACGGATGTGGAAAAGAAATACGACCTAGACCGGGAGATATTACCGAAGAAAATGAAGAGCTTACCGTCCCCTTCTTGCCAAATCTTTGTGTGAACCAGCTCTGCGTCAGGTTGACAAATCTATGCTGATTTCACTTGCTAATGGACGCCCAGATGACAATTGCGTGAAACCACAGGAAAGGATCAAGTTAACACACATGGAGTTTCTCGGTAGATGTAATAGGCTATTCTGAGATGGATTTTACATCAAGCAGCTACGCAGACGTCATCGGGGTCTTCTCAGCTCAGAGGTAATTGTCATCCTCATTGTCATTTAGACGTTATTCCTTAAGCATGGGGAGTGGATGGTAGGGAACTCAAATCCTGCAGGGGCGGGATGAAGGGCTTTTGGTTCTGAGAGGCACAACACAACATAATCATAAAGGACACAAATAACTATAACTATATAACAGCCGGCGGCATTGCCCTGCCCTGACCATCGAACTCACCTTTCAGCGTAGCAAGTACAACTGGTTGACTAGTTAATTGATTGACTTCCCACCGGTCACATTTCAACCCTCTACGTTATCCATACCTACCGAAATACCCTTCCTCAATACGAGCAATTTTGACAAATCCCTCCAAAATGACCACCGTTAAAGGACGCTGCCACTGTGGCCAGACAGAGTTCGCTGTTAAGATGGAGTCTCTCAGTCATATTCTCTGGTGCTCTTCTTGTCTTCTCCGTTTTTGAATCATTCTCCACCCGGTGTCTAGATATCCGGTACATTAAGCTAACAGAACACTCTCTATCATCCAGCCACTGCGATGCTTGCAAAGTGATTAACGGCAGTGATTACACCCTAAACCAGATTGTCCCAAAGGAGAATTTTGAACTCACAAAGGGCAACTTGGGCTCATACACATATGACGGCGATTCGGGTATCTCCCCTCCCATTCCTACGCAACCATGCGTATATCCCCCTTGCCACACACATGCATTCCGTCCCCGCCCTTGCCCTTGCCCTTGCCCTTGCCCTTGCCCACCCCCACCCCCAACCCCTTACCCCTATTTATTATTCATCCCTCTCGTATACATAATGCAGATAAACAAACCATCAGATTGTAACCTGCTCATCAACGCATCATACACAGGAAACCCCGTACACTGCTTCTTCTGCCCCAATTGCACAACCCACATCTACCATCACCAGACCGTAGCCGGACCCAAATACGTCATCCGAACCGCCTCCTTGGAAGGTGCCAAGGAGTGGCAAGTGGCTGCAGAGATCTACGCGATGAATAACATCAAATGGCAACCTACTATTGCTGAGGCTGATCATGTCTTCCAGCTGACTCCGCCATCGTAAACTACGAAACTGGCCCGAGTCGATATATTTAAGGTGTGGCAAAGGAGACACAAAGGAGGCCGGAGAGGTTGCATGGGATGTTAATGTTATGAAATTAGGAAATGTGGTGAAAATCTCTTTTGTGAATCTTCTTTCTCTTCCCTTTACAGTTTGCAATGCATGAAAATGGTCTCAAGTTGTCCACAAATGAACAGAGAATGGATGGGGTATTTCATGAATTCCTCTCTGCAACTCTGCTGCCTCAACCTGCATGTAACGATACAACAACTGTCTGAAATCTAATTGAGAAGAACATTTCAACACAGGGAGAGTTGATATCATCCCGCAAAAGTTATCTCTAAACATCTGAACAAAAGACCCCACAAATATCTCAATCATCCCCAAGCGGTAGCCGGCATATTGTGCGCATTCAAACTCCTGCATCCAAAAATACCCTAGGGGGCATTGGGCATCAAAACGAACATCGGTCCAATTCCCTCTCCTCGAAATATAGACCAATAAAAAGGTCCCCTTATCCCCCTTTTCTCCCCCAAATAACAAACCCTTCTATCCCGAACTAACAGGTGGAATAATCGCCACCTCCTCCCCAGGGCCTATCATCCGAACATCTCTAGCATCCTTCCTTTCCTTGCCATCCACATTTACCACATCAGCATCGACATCGACATACTCTAACCCAACACTAACCGCACAGCTAACCAGCACTTTCTCTTTAATACCCGGGTATCGTGACTCGAGGAGATCGAAGAGTTTGGAGAGTGGGAGGGGAGCGGGAAGGGATTCTGTTTGCTTTTTCGTGTAGGAGGAGGCCGTGGAGAAGTAGTGGATTTGGAAGGTTGGGGGAGCCATTGTTCCGGAAGCAGTTTTACCTAGGGAAGTAACGGATGGGGATATAGGATATATACATAATATATATCGAAGGTGGGGGGATAAAAGAGATGGAGATGGAGATGACGAAGAGGCTTATGGACGGGAGGGGTAGAACCCGTAGTGTAAATTTCAACGGGAAAGCCAAACCTCCAACTCGTCCTCTCCCTTGGCTACCTCCAGAGAAACAAAAGGATCCCCCTCCCCTCTCTTTCAGGCCTGTTTCCTTGTCGGATCCTCTGGTCTGACTCTCCGCCGATGGTTCTAGGTTGGTTACTCCCTTTCCGCTTGTTCAGCACACTGCCACCGATGAAAACTTTTAAGGTGCCAGGACGAATTTATGCTTTCAAGGAAATATAAGAGAAGAGAACGGCGGCTGGTTAGGCATGTAGTAGCAAGTTCGGACGAATTCTAGCAAGGGGTTCGAAGTTGGACACCAGATATTTTCCGGTTGGTTTGGCTCGGTGGGACTGGTATCCGATGAATGCGTGCGGGGAGTTCTAATCTTTATCGGCCCGCTTGTTTGTTGGTTGGGGTTAAACTCAGAATTTGGTGTTCAAATGAGTGCCTCACCAAGGCGCTAGACCAGATAGGGACACTGGAATAACTTAAACTAAAAGCGTAAACTACTTAACTAGTTAGGCCCGAAATTTAGTAAATATAAGCAACCTTTTTAACTGACGTGTAAAAGCTTGAAGGATATTTCCAAGACTCTTCCTGAGTAATCATATGTAGTTAACTATTATAAAACGAAAAGGACGAATTTAGAAGGGGAAAATAAAAGGAGAATGAAAGCTAGGAAGGTTAGGCGAAGAGGTAGAGCGTAAACAGAATAATCCGGGCGTAAGCAGTTTTGGTTATGAAAGGTCAGGGGGGTTAGCCTATTATTACATCATTCCTCTCTCTCTTTCAGAGACTCATCATATACAACCACTATCTCTTTCATGAATTTATATATCTCTACAATAAAAAATGGAAGGATTGATTACATTAAGATATATTAGAGAGTATTATAATAGATACTTTAATAACATAAATAAGCAAATAATTTAATAATATAATGATGATAAAAGACTCTACGTAAAAAGTCATTCAAAAAAAAAAAAATATAAAATTTTTAAATTAGTAGTAGAAGAAGAATCAGATTAATTAGAAAATTAAGACTGATATTACTTTCTAGATAGAAAGATTATATAAAGATTAATGAGATAAAATTGAATATACAAACTTACTTCTGCTAATATTTTAAAATTAATGTATTTGAGCTAGTTGCGGCGTAGAACGGGCTCCGTTAGAACCACTCAACGGCGTAAGATCACCCACTGGGCTGCAAGGGATAATTGCAACTGCCCAGCAACGGCATAGCAACCACCACGCAAATAATACTCTTGTACCCGGTAAATGATTACCCCACAGAAACTGCCTAGCAACGACCTAGCAACTGCGCTAAGAAAAGAGGTATAGACACAGCCTTCTCCAGATCTGTCTTTCAGGAATCATCTTAGTATTTCATTGAAGTAGCTTACCTAGTTGGCAATCAAACATCCGTTTACCTGCGCCTAGATTGACTGCAATATAATCAGATTTATTACATTTGATGCAGATGTTATATGTGCAAGCTGCAGCATCTTCAAATGAGATATCTAAATCCTTCAGTTCCGAGTGTGTAGTGTAGACATCTGACAACAAATTGTATGAGATAGAAGTCTGTCATTTCATGACATGAAAGCTGTATGTGATTGTAAAATTATTAATGGTAGAGAAGTGGGCCAGAAGGCGATGTTGGACCGGAAGGTGGATTAACTACGTTACAAAATCAACAACATAAAGTAGCCATCCATTCTATAGATATGAAAGATATGCATATGAGACAGAAAAAAAAATATCTATCCTTCAAGCACTCCCCTCATCGCCTGCATCAAATCCTCTTTCAAATCCTTCCAATCCTCCAACCCAACACTTATCCTCAACAATCTCTGATCAACCGTCGGATCTGTCATCGCCCTCCACTCAATCAACGACTCCACCCCTCCCAGACTCGTTGCATGATGAAACAGTCTTAGCTTTGTCGGCAGCAATCTCGCATATTTCACCTCCTTCAACGTAATCGAAAACACCGGCCCAAACCCATTCGGCATCTGCCTTCTCACCCACTCCTCCTTCTGTAAACTCGCATGTAAAATACTCTTTACAACTTCCCTAACAGCAGCCTCACCACTCCCCGCTTCAAAAACTGGTCCATGATGACTTAACGCTGCCGCCATCCACCGCACAAGCCTCTCCGCATTAGCACTCTGTCGTTGAACCCTAACCTCTAACGTTCGCAGACTCCTCACCCCCAGCCACCCTTCCATATTCCCCATAACAGATCCCAAATGCAGTCGGTCAACTAACAACCGGTCTTTCCACTCCTGGCTCTTCGTCACCAACACCCCGCATAATATATCACTATGTCCTCCTAGATACTTCGAGCCTGAATGTAACACCAAATCAGCCCCCCATAGGAACGGATCTTGCAACCCCGGTGGACCAAATGTGCTATCGACAATCAAATACGCCCCGCGCGCATGGGCTTTGTCCGCGTAGTGCTGGATATCAAACGCCGTCCCATGAGGGTTAATGGGCGTCTCCAACAAAACAGCATCACCCTTCTGCAACTCATCCGGATCACAGTGAAGAGGTAATTTCACCAGTCCATTCAGCCTGGTTTGAATGTCGATGACGCCATGGGAGCCGTGGTAGCCATCGCCCACAGAGATGCGGCGCGGATTGAGGAAGACAAGCGCAGCATGAAGTGCGGCGAGGCCAGAAGAGTAGGCGATGACATGCCCGCGTAGCAGGGAGGAGAGAATTGTTTCAAAACGAGTGGTGTTGGGGGCGGTGTGGCGGGAGTATATGTGGTTGGTTGCGGGGAGGTTGGCAAGCTGTATTATTTTTTTTTTTTTTTCCCCGGTTAATGATGAGGTTTTCAGTTTGTTAAACTACAATGGCATGGCAGTGTTCTTGATTTTGAGGACGTGGTAGGTAGGTTGGAACATACGGTGGAGTCAGACCAGGGGATGAGGTCTTCAAGGTTGTCAGAGTATCTGAAGGTGGTTGAGAGGTGCAACGGCGGGGCTACATCTGTGAGGACGTTGACAGAGTCATCAGCATGGAGGGCTAGGGTTGCTGGGCGGGGTTCATTAGGGAGATTGAGATTATCAGCCAAAGCTTTCGAGAGAGATTCTGTGTTGTTGATAGCCATTGTAGTGTATTGAAAAAGTATAATGACGTTTTTTTTATATATTTTGAATGTGATGGGATGTGTGAGGGTTAACTAATTGCCAGGAAGCAAAAGTTAAAAAGGGGTTCTAAGAGAAAGACTAATTACTCAACTCTTCTAAAATAGCTAACTAATAATTCATCACCTATTTGATCATCAAACTGTACCAGACATTCTAACAAATACAGCTCTAGCACTTTCTCAATACAAATTCATTAATATATATATATATATAAAGTGAAAATTTTACATAACTATAACTCAAAAGAAGTTAACTAGTTGACTTGAAAAAAGAATAGTTTGTTTGATTAATATACTTCATCATCAGTGAACATTATCAAGTAATAAATTCTTTTTGAAAATCATTATATATTTGATATATTCAACAATCAACACATTTAAATATTTAAATTATTAATAAATTAAGACTATATAATAGTTGAGTATATTGTTATTTATTAGAGCAACTGCGTATAATAGATTTATTAATCTTATAGCTGTCTATATCATTTTATATAAAAACTATGATTATATTGAAAACTCCTCTCTTTTTATATTTAATAATTACTTGAGAAGAATTTTCTCTTCAATCTCTGATAATTTATGATTATAAATATATGTTTCTAGGTATGATTTGATGTTAGCAGGTCATTTTGCACAGAGTAGTTTCAAAAATCTCATATATCTTTAAAGCTTTCATCTTTGATAAAAAAAAAATTTTGGAATTTATATGAAGCAATGGCCAACTCACTGTATGTGAGATTCTTGAGATAAAGACATTTTGAAGAAAAAGTGTGAAGAAATTATGGTTGAAGACAGTTGGGTTGAATATTTGATGATTTTCAGGAGAATCCGCCGCTCGGTGGTTGTCCGCCGCTCAAGTGGTGAAGTACGTTTATAGTTAGTAAAATCAATGCGCTTCTGCATATGAAATCCCCTATCAGCCTTCAACTTCACTATGGATACGTCACAGGTTACATACAGTTGAATGAGATATAAAAAAGAGTTTCAAGTGGCTTAACTAGTTATAAGTTGGACCCACTTTTAAAACCATGATCAAATCTGATCTCAACATCTAAATTAAACAGCCTTCTACTTCTTCACACATACAACACACACGCATACTACTAATGCATCTCTATTCCGCCCTCACCGTCTTCAACACCAGGGTTAGGGTCAGGTTTAGAATGGGGATTAGGGGTTATGATTAGAGTTAGTTAAGGATAAAGTACCTTGAGAAATGTGATAAAATCACTACCATCAAGAGCATATTGAGATGTGTGTGAGACATGTTTGAGGTGTACGTGTCATGGTTTATTCATAAACCACACAAAAGGTTTTTTCAGCTGGTATTTTAAACCATGTGTTCAAATGTACGCCCTCAACTGTACGCTCCACAACCATGCAAATTCCACGGATTGTTCAAATAGATGAGGAATAAACAGAGGAAAGTGAATTAGTTTCTTCAAGAATCCATAGACGTATTAATAGCCGGAGGCCCTTCGCTTTGAGGATGCCTGTCAATTACCTTATCCGCTAAGGATAATCATGGAATCAAACGTCAGTCTGAGTTCCCAAGTCAATGCCAATGGGAAGATGTCACATTGTTTCCCCTCCAGGTGCCTTGATATGTGGAGCTAGATAGATATTCCAATACTGTTTGGATAACGAGGCAGTCATTTATTCATCATTTCGTCCTCAAGACTTAACATCATAAACATATCCAACGAAAATAAGCAAATGAATAAAAGGGAAGCATATATCTCCAATGGTAATGTAAGAAAAGGGCTTCATGATATTTACTCCGCCTCTGACAGGAGGAAGACATGGATGGTACAACAATTTCCTCCGTAGTCTTCAATAATGCAAAACTAGAAATGAAGCTGAACTGTCAATCTCAGCCTCCCCCCTTGGGTCTCTGAGTAAACAACCAGGTACACATGAGATCAAACCGACAGAAAATCAGAAGAAAACAGGACAAAGAAAAAGTCAAACGCATCGCCAGAACCCCGCTATATGAAAGAGGTAACAAAAGAGGGGAATAGGAGGAGAAAACCCCTTTGAAAAACGCCAGAACACGCTAAAAAACGCCGTACAGAGAGGTAGGTAGTAGAGTAGGAAAAGTAAGTAGTGCAAGGAAGTATTGGTATGTATCGTTAATTAATACATAGATAGAAGAAACGTGTCTGCTCATTTCCGAAGCGATCCCATCTTAGATGGCTCCTTGACCGGGCCAGGTATGACCATTTGAAAAGCCGCCCTATCTGCATAATACATAAAAATGAAATACATCAGCATGTTGGAAAAGTGACGGACGGAATAAAGAGTATTTCATAAAGACAACATCGAAAAGAAAAACAAAAATGGGACGGGATGGGGAAAAGTTAATGAAGTCATACCGTTCTCTGAATCAAAGGCAATCGTAATATCATCATGTTCCCCGGGATACTCAGGCATGTCTAGACACACAAAGCCCGCAGCAGCATCGTTGTCCGGCTTGGGCAAGGCGAACTTGGCATCGACAATTTTGACACCAAATTTACCAGAACGATGGTTAAAGCTTTCGAATACATCTGTGCTCTTGAGGACGAAGTTCATGCATTGTCCGTGGCTGAAGTCATGGAAGAAGGCGACGAGTTGTACAATTTTCTCCTGTTTGAGAATTTGGATGCGGACTTTCGTTGCTTCCCATTTTTTGTAGATGGGGACTACCATTCGACGACGGGAGATTGTGAAGAGGGACGCGAAGCTAGTGATTGGAAGAGAAAAGATATTGTGTGTTAGTAGAAGAGTGTTACGAAATACGGGAATAAAAAGGTGTGGGCTCATTGATGGCTTACCCGTCAAAAAGTACTCTAAAGTTCGTGATGGCTTGCTGGAACATGTGAAGATCTATAAAAAAATAGAAATATATTAACATCGCTTCAAGCGCAAGAAAGGGGGGCAGAGGAGAGGGATAAAATTCATCTAACCTCGTAATGCTGTAAAATTATACCGTCGAATGATTGGTGTTGTTTGAGAGGTCTTTAAAAGCCTTGTCATATTACCTGTGGTTTCCTGGGGCACCAAATTTTCCGCCACAGAAATCCCCAAATCCTGGTGGGGTGGCCTAAGAATACTCATTGCAGTAGGATTATTGACATCGAGAGAAATTTTAAGCTCTCCAGGACCTACGTTGAAAACAAATGGAATATACGAATCAGCAAGTCTGCTAAAACCATGATTGTGCATCCCACAGGATTGTGCACTTTCTGCGCCTTTCTCACGTACCAATATTGATCCTATCAGTCGCCGAACCCCAGTTTGACGTTACGAAAATGCGAAGATGCTCAGATAGCACCGTAGGACTGTATGGATGCTTGAGATTGATAGGGTTGTTATTTATTACCGCCACAGACGGTGCGGAAAATTGTAGTAGAGAAGAGGGCTGGGAGAATGGAAGTCCCTGTCCACTATCTGCGGGCTGTTCGATCGAGTATGACCGCATGGGGATGTCAGGAGTCTTCACCTCCCCTTCTAGCGGTGCGATACCAAGCAGCAAAGAGTGCATCTTGGCACGTTCTTCTTGCTCGTGAAATGTTAATAGCATGGAGCGGTTTGCAGCGCTGTTGCCCGGTTCCTGTATTTTTAAGAGTAAAGCTGGTGCGCCATCTTCGCCTCGTAGATAGCCGAAGACAATTGGTGTGCCGTTACCCATTTCATGAGTGACACTGCTGAGCGTCTTCACTTTCGGACTCGACACGGCGATGAACCGGAAACCCCTATGTGCCTTACGTGTGCCAGTGCCTTCTGTGAGCGTCACAGATTTTTCAAAAAGGCGTATTCGACATCGCGGGCTGGGTTCTGGGGGGAATGCTTTGGTGGGGTTCGAATCCATATACTGAAAAACTTTCAAAACGTCCTCGAACAGAAGTGTTTCCCCAGCTGCCGGCTCTAGGGCCTCTTCTGTTTTACGGGTGTATTCCACAATTTGCCATATCATTTTGAAGTCCGGTTGCTCGAACTGGACCTCCAATTCAAATCCGCGCGGGAGGCGTACTCGCATCGATAAACTTCTTACTTGCCATTCTACATCCGCCCATGTGGGGCCTAGCTTCTTATCCCCCTGTATTGTGAGGTTGACAAGCTCGTTTTGGCTCGTGATAGATACGATTACATTCCAATCAGTTCGATCTCGCATAATCGATAGCACGCAAGGGATCGGGTATTGTTGCGAGTCATCTTCGCTGGAACTCAAGTATGCCTGCACAAACATTCTCCCATAGCTGAAAGAGCGGCTCGAATCTCCCAACGGCATCACATCGGCAATATCAGCTACCTTTCGTGCTGTATCTACCAGCATTGACCTCGTTACCTGACCGGAGAGAACAGCGGATATATCGGGCGCAAAGAAAGGATATCGTACCCATATTGATGCATCAATTCCTCGAGAAAGCTCCATTTGTTCCATGGCCGCTGCAAGGATATTGTTCCGCTTCATCGACATAGCCAACGCACGTAGATTGCTGAGAATCGCTTGATGGACACTCATTAGACTCCTCAGCCTCTGGTTGCCAGCAGTTATGACTACAGCACTAATGGTCTCCATGCTCACATTTCCGAATCGAGATAGCTCAGGATGTTGAGGAACAATATGTTGGTTAATCCACCAAGCTTTTGCCAAATTAAGCACACCCTGTCGGGTCTGATCAACATTGGTTGGGGAATTCCTCCCACCACTTGATGACTGCTGACGTATAGATGCTTCAACATCAGCCCTGCCCTTTAAGAACCACCATACGCTCGCCCTAACCCACTCTGTCAAGGATGTTTCCATAGACGGCTTGACGCTTTCGGCAGCATTGCTAAATACATCGTTATATTGTGAAGCCCACGTGGTAAAACCAGACAGTGTGTCATTGCTAACCACATTAGCAACGTTCCTCCACGATCTCCTTGAAGAAACTGGGCCTCTCTCATTCGTTCGTTGAGGTTCATCAGTATTAGGTTGGGCTTCTCTAAGTTTTTGTTTGGTTTCAGGTTGTACCTGTGCGTGTGAGGATTTTAGATATGGTGGGGGTGGAGTATTTGGATGTGACGATGAATCGGTAATATTTGTTGATACGGTTGTTCGAACATTCGACGAATTATCATCACGAGTGGATTGAATTGCGCCGGGCAAAGAGGATAAAAAGTCACCCCAGAAACTGTCTCTACTAAGGTTGCACTCACTTTCTTCTTGAGATTGATGTAGAGTAGGTTTCGTGGACGGGCGGAGTAGGAGCGGCAGGCCAGCCTCTTGTGACAACGGGCTTTTTAATTCGGGCTTTGCAGGACTCGTAGGAGAATCAGACCGTGCCTTCTGCAGTGCTATTCCTTCTTCTGCCCTCATCTTCGCCTGAACACGGCGGGCAAAGGAGTTTGGGTCGCCGTCCTCCCGGAATGATAGCCGAGACCCAGTGGTATTCTCGATACCAAGGGATAGAAAGAAGTCGGCTTGATGGACATTCTTCAGCAGTGTCGGTTTCTCCCTTGGTTCATCCGGAGGTTTTTGGCCGTTATAACTTCCACCCATACAAGATGTGTCCTTGGAATCTGATAGTGACTCGTAGGGGTCGTCATTCTCCGATTGGGAATATGACCCATTTGTGGCATATGAAGTGGCAGACTGCGACCTGGAGCGATATAGAAGAACATCTTTTGTAGGCAGATCAGCTTCATCGCCCCCTTCCCCGATAATGTCAGGCCCATTGTTGCTAAAGGTCACCTTTAAACCTTTACGGCCTTGTTTCTTGGGCGGGTTTATCGAATTGGAAAATTTTGAGGTTTGGGTATCGGAGCAAGCCAAGGAATCGCTTAATTCTGGCCATTTATGTGAAACGGAGACATTGACATGAGGGCTGGTTTGGTGATGATATTGCGGCTGGTTTTGGTGTTGTTGGGAGGGTCGTAGCGGAGGTGAGAAGGAGTTAGAGAGGGATTGACAGGACGGGGAGCGGTGGGAGCCCAGGAAGTCATCGACCTGTTCATCTCGAGAGAACTTGGGGCCCTTGTCTTTGAAGAACAGTTTGCCGCGCCATTTGCGTGCCTTGGATTCAGCACCAGCAAAGGGGCTGTCCTCTGAGGTTTCTACGACCATGCTCGAAGACGGTAGCAGTAGCGGCAGCGGAGACAGCAACAACTACGCAAACTCCCACAGGCAGGATTGGATGTGGATGAACAAACATCGGAGGAAACAACACAGAGTCGAGGACTGGAGTGGTCGGAGAAAAGTGTGCACAATGTCGTTGTTTACAACCCCCTTGCGAGCGAATGGAGTTGGATAAGCAGGTCTCACGTGCAGAACAGGCTTGAAGAAATAGTAAAATTGACCGCCACAACAAGATTGACAGGGGTATTTAAATTTCAAGGTCACCAAGGCGAAAGTGTGGCTGGAGAGAAAGAAAAAAAAAATGGTGAAAGAGCAGAGAAGAAGGAAAACGATCAGAGATGCGAAGAGAACAAACGCTGCAGTTCCTGAATGCAGCGTGGCAGGGAGAAAACGAGATTAGACCAGATTGAATGTACTGCGCCTAGGTACATCGCGAACAGAATTCCGAAGGAGAGGAGAAGTTGGTGCCTCAGGTGAGCTCGACAGCATCCTACAATGAAACCACTTTAGAAAAGTGGAGCTGGTGTGGATTGAGGAGAGTGTCTAGTGGGCGAATGAGTGATGGAGATTGTGTTTTGGGACAAGCAAAAAGGGGCAACACCACCACTTAGAGCCAATGACGGGGGCCAGAGGAATAAGGCACGGTGCTGCTTAATTGCTGCTAAACAGCTGCTAAAACTCTGTTATTGAACTGGACAGCGGGGGTGCCAGACAGGGAGACCTTGCCAACCATGGGACGAGATCAGCCCTAGACCCCTCTGTTTTAATTAAGGATTAGGGAGGGGTTTAGTGGCTGGTTAAGCGGTGATCAAAAACAGGGTCATTCCATGGGTTCCAACCCGGCAATCAAAATCACGGAGGATTTTAAGTGCAGAACAGTCTGAGCAGAGGAAGAATAAATAGCATTCACCAGGCCTCCTAAACGTCGCAAAATTTGTAATTAAATTCCTCTTGTTCCTTGCAGGTGCTCGTCTCTATGTCTGTTATTGCAAACCTGGTATGCTACATCAACGCGTTTCATCAATGACGCATTACAGAGTGCACTCTGATCTTCCGGTATAATCTGTATAGCATCCCAAGGCTTCTGAGAACCCCTTTATTATTTTGCAGCGAAGTACCATATGTCAAAAACTGTCAAAGCTCCATCATTCTTCCATTTTTCAAACCTAAGAATAGATTACGAATGCTTCTACGTGCTTATACAATCTCTGCTCAGAAGTTTTTTTTTTTTATGCAAATAAATCTATCGTTCTACCCGGAACCATTCTATACATACATTCTGGCTGTATCCCCCTTATCGTCGAATATACCCAGAAATATCCATGGGCGTTGTTCTTCAATGCCCAGGCCCATTCACCTGCTCATACTCACATCCTCTTCCAACCCCCTCACGCAGTTGGTATGTAACACTAAAATTCAGTGGGCCGCCATCACCATGCCGTTACGCTTGTTTATATTGCCGTTGATCCTGTTGCTGCCGTTGTCGATACTCCTCTGGTGTGATAATAACCACTTCACTATCATTTGACAAGCTACTGCTCCGGTGGCTTTTAGACTTGCTAAGTGCCTCTTCCAGCTCTTCTCCGCCCTCTGCAGGCTGTTGAGGTCTCGCCGTGGTTTTACTCCATCCGTTGTTGAGCGTCAATGCTTGTCCGCGATTGCTGTCAGAATTTTCGTCTAGCTCATGGCTGGGCCCACGATCCGCACTGCTGCCCCCCATATGCACTTTGATGATTGAACGCATGATTGGGACTGAGGCGCAGATTGTGCTCACGTAAACTTCAACGGACGTGCAGAGTTCTTCGGCGGAGGAGGGCCTGCTGTTGTGTTGTTTTTGGTTTTCCATTTTTATTTCATTGTTAAGACGGAACAAGCGCAGAAATGGCTATTCCTCTGCTTTTGGGAAGGAAAGGTAACGGGCAACTTGGAGAGGGTACACTCCACGAAAAATTCAAGAGGGTTGTTGAGGGTGATCGTATCGGTTGGTTGCTTGTCTTGCTATCGTGGTGCATATTGTCAGAATACCGACGCCGAAGCAGAAGATCAAGCCAACTACAATATCACGTTTGTCAGCGTCGCTCGCTAACAGTTTGACATGTCATCATTCAGTGGGGGATTTACGTATTATCTACATTCCGTCGATGAGTAATTTGTATTGTCTTCAGAATGGGAATCGGAGATAACTGCGAGCAGGATATCGGCCACAATGTGGAACGTGGAGTTGGAATAATTGAAACCCAATATATCGACGCACACAACCGGGAACGTTGGGCTTCACATGACCGAGATAGGCGCGCATATAAAGGTTGTTGTCTTCGACAAGTCTGTATTTATGCATCCCGTTTTATCCCTATCATTTTGTCGGGAGATCCATGAAAGGGAATGAAAACAACAAAGAGTTTGCTGCAACTCCTTGGAGAAAGACGCCTGCCCCAAAGGCATACAGGAACTTCCTTTGCGTCGGATTCGAAGCTAGTCGGAGGTAGAGGACCACCATGCTGGATTTGGAGAATCTGTCTATGCGTTAGGTTATCCACGCTCTTGCAGGTGAAAAGAAAAAGGGGGGAAGTTGGTGAACGCACGCAAGACCTGCGTGGTAGAGAATTTGCGACACCCACGCCCACTACCATAGGGGGATGTTAGTAAGTATACATATGTCGCTGCTTTCCGATATAAAGTTTTATGTTGTTGACAGCTCAGCTCAGCCATGCGGGCGACAAATTTCTAGAAGAGAATGTACATGCGGAAGCGTCACAGTTATGCCAAAGGCGGCCAACTACTAGATGAACGAATTCATCAGTAAAAGTTGAAAACAAACAAAGAAAGAAACAAAGAAAGAAAGAAAGAAAAAGAGAACCCCTAATCGCCCAACACAGCAGCCCACCTATTGTCAGTGGAGCGGAGACTCACAACGGTGCCAAATATGCGGACGTTGTCGACCCCTAACTCAGCCTACCAGAAAACACTTTGCATAGAACCTGAAATATTAATATTCAAAAAGACTTCCGCAAGTCAACTCAGTTGAAAACAAGACCTTGCGAGATCTGAGGGATTAGTCTCTCCTTACCTCAATGAATGAGTTAACTATCACAGAAATCCCGAAAATGACATAGCAGCTGGGTTGTAGGCTCGGGTTCGAACCCGCCTCAATGAAGACCATTTTGCGGGGTACAACAAGGAGACAGCACAAATTGTAATGGCAGGTGAATATGCAAGTATGGCCGGCTGTTCAGAAGGATCGGATATCACCCACAGCACATCATCAGGGGAAGTCAGGGAGGCATCGGTCTACTTAAAAGTAAAAAGACAAGCATTTCCATGTTTCCATCTTGGATACACGAGAGTAGATATATATATACATGGAGGAAAACAACAGTTGAGAACACAACACGAAAAACTTGCTGCGTGATGGTCATCCCAGTGACTGACGGTATAGCCCTGACGAGGCGCTGTTGTCGTTTACTTTAAAAATCTTTGGAACAACGTTGCGCGCAAAAAACAATGTGGCCGTGTACAACGGTCGGATCTACAGTTGTTATACTCTGTACGGTCCCTTCAGGAAGCCGATGGAGTGAACCTCACAACGCGTAATTCACCCCCCCCCCCCTTCCGTGATGTTTGGATGCTTGAATTTTACAGTGTGCATCTTTACTTTCCGTAGCAAAGGGGGCTGGAAAGCATGGACTGTTTGTTCAATCATTAAAGGCTGGTCAGCATGGTGGTAAGAGGAACACTCGCTGTCCTGCGCTGACGTGCAGTGCCACGCGATCCGAATGCGCAGAGACAGCTTCTCATAGTTACTGTTCATCAGAATATTCTACATAACGAGTGTACGAGAATGCTGGAAAAATTATTCACCCACATTGTGGGCCAACGTTTCCGTATCCCGTGGCAACCAAAGCCCTCCATTACCAAACGTGGATGTCTGATGACGCTTAGTTAGTTATGTTCTCATGTCTTATTTTCTCTTCATCTTTTGTTGTCCCATGTTTAGAATAGTTCTCAAATTTAACAAATCCACCCCAAGCTGTGCTCCGCGAGATTCATTTCCTACTTTGGTTAATTCCCCCTCCCCCCCCCCCAAAAAAAAGGGAAGAGATTAAAATACCGTCCACCAAGAGAGATTCCCTCATCTGGCAGATTGGAACAGACTTGTGGCGAAGCACTTGTAGGCTGTGGAGTTATCAGGGGTGGGGTTCCACGGGCGCATTAGCCGCTGTAGCAAGTTACAGGTTGAAAACACACGCAAGTTGATCGTTCATAAGTGCAGCAGCGGATGTTGGAGCAATGCGAGTGCCACCGTTGTTTCATCTTTGTTAACTCCAGACGCGGCTTATGGGTTCCAATTAAAACAGCCCTCGGCATAAAACCCTGGCATTATTTCACCCCAGCTAGATTCTGGATCGGTGGGGCCAAACGCCTTTGTCGTATATCTCAGCTCTCGCTTTCCGGAACTAGTGATATATTTAACTGCTTTATGTAATATTCTTAAAGCCCATGTTTTTCCCACGTAAAAATGGGTTATCCCTCACCTCGGGGGTATCTGCCGGTTCGTTTCTGTCGCCATCTGCATGATGTGTCTGTCGCCCCTGCATAGTGGCAAACAGTCCCACTAATATTTAGAAAAATGTTGTGGATTACTATTAGTAGCAAATTTCATCGGGATTTGAATTGATAGGAGCCCATGGATTCAACATAACTTCATCTCACAAATAGGACCATGGGCTTGTTTATGCCGTTCATCAAACCTCCGGATGTCAAACGGACAGGTATAAAAGGGAACCGTTAATTTCTGTTTCCTGTTGTCCTGGGAGGGGGTTCCTAGTATCCTTCTAGTTTTCTTTCAAGTTCTATTTTTGTTGTTTATTTATTCCTTTCGTTTTCTTGTATCTACCGTTGTAAAGATTCAAGGGAATTTTTATCACAATATCGTTTTTATACCCCAGGCGGGCAGATAGCGAAGTAGGACCAAGTATGGCTCAAACACCCCAGAAGCAGCCACGCCAGCATTAGCTATCAAGGTCCAATTGGCGCACGTCACTTCCAAGGTGGAAGTATCATGACGATAACTACCTGTAAGTGGCTCACACGGGTGCCGTTCGAGCCCTGCTAGAAAATGGCTATTTTACACACCTCCCAAAAGATGGCTCAACCAAGACTGCGGAGGAGCCTTGTCTATAGAGCTGAAAGTGGAGAAGGAACTGATCAGTGTGTATTTTTTGTATCCAAAGTGCATCCAAGCAATACATCAACGCCTTCAGCACACTGAAGAGGCAGTGACAAGTCCGTCCGATGAGAATGGCGACAATATTGGGACCATTCAAAGAGTAGAAGAAAACGCACACACATCCCTTATCTATCTCGTTTCAAAATTGAATGGTATCTTCACACTCCTGTAAAATCCCCCAAATCGCTGTGTCATCTTAGTGGCAGGACAGCCGATAATAACCTCTTACCAACCAAGTGTCGACGAGTACCAATTTGGCGAACTCCAATTCTATAAAATTTTCAGGGAAAGCGGCTGGAAGCCGCTGATGATATAACTACCACTGGTGGTCGATATTGGAGAAGAGAAGGGCCACGTGATTAACCAGATAAAGCGCTACGCTAGTGAGAGGGTACCAAGGGCCGATTCATTCTTCAGCAACGACAGATTGTAGTAGACAATATCACCGAGGATCTGCCCGGGATTGAGCGTCAAACATACTGCTTTTTCACTATGCAGCCTATCAAGAGTGCGTTCAGTGGGATAAGACGGTGGGCGTATGGATAAGGATACCTGGAATGTACCGTAGACACATATATTGAAGTAGAGAATATTATTTCGTTTTGCTTCAGTAAAGGCAACCGTGCATTGGGAAAGCCTCAAAATGCTGCTGCCATAGGCTCCTGTTTGGTTATTTCTGGCAGCCATCCTCACGGGCAGGCATAGTTATATCCACCAAATTTATTCCTTGGACTTTTCACCAACCAGTCGTATAACATCCTGTTGGGTCATCACTGCCCTCCTGGATAAGGAAGAATCAACAATGAAACCTTTCGGAGTCTGGCGGAGAGTCGATATGATTTTCCTTGTTTCCTTTTTTGATGTTTCCGGCCCAAGTTTACGGTTGTGTGGGAGTCGCTCGAGACGGGTTAATTCTCTACTTAGTTACCATTGTCCAGATAGTTGTAAATAACGTAGTTAACTAATTCCCAACCACACAATTTTTTTTCTACCAATTCAAAACCCACTACTACTTAACAAGTAATTATGCAACCAATTCAAATTAAGAAAGCCTCAGATTCTCTTTTGAGAGAGGGAAGAATAGAGTGTGCAATCCTTGCTTTTAAAAATCAAGAAATAGCTTCAATTCACAAAGCTGCACACCAATTTGAAGTTTCATATGTTATCCTACGTCATAGACTTAGTGACTGGCGTGCACAGGTAAATTCACACACAATTTCATATAAATCATCTTCAGTCGAAGAAGACATGCTTGAATGCTGAATTTAACTAAATGAGAATTACTTCTTCAAGCCAGCATTTGTGGAGAATATGATCAACTATCTTCTCTCATTATGAAATCATACACACCCTTTTCCTCACCAAGAAGTATCAAGTTTAGTGACTCGGAGTTTTAATGTCATTATTTTAGATACTATAATTCTAAATAAACTAAGTATAAAGATTTAAGTAAAGAATTATAAAGAAATAATACAAGATCTTAACAAGTATAATTATTGAATATATCATCAGTTTGAGAATATCTATAATTTTGATAAGATTAAATTTATAATAACTTTACACAACTATTAAATTTAGTTATTAATGTTAAGTATTACAATTAAACAAAGTTATATAGTTAGTTAAAAAATTAAAAATGAGTCATAATGATTGAATCAGTTAATATAACTATCAAATAAATTTTATTCTTATATAATATTCCTAAAAATTTAAATTTTTAAATTTTTATTAATAAACATATAAAATAACTGACTTAACATTGATTTTCATAATTAAATTATAGATAGTATAAAAATTAAATAATTCATAAACTTTTTATTTTATAATTATAATGTTATATATATATTTATTTCTTAATTTAATAAATATAATAGTTATTTTATTGTAGAATTTAATTAAAATTATATTAAAATATATTTAATAGTTTTTATTTTTTAAAATCTATTATAATTATTATATTTTTAAAACAAACTTATAAAAACTTGGTTAAATATGATTTAAATTATTATAAAATAAATTGTTTTAGATATTATCATAGTCAGAGATTTTATCAATATTCATTTGGCACTGCTTTCTTCTCTATATGATATTCATACTTTTTCATCTTTATATAAGATAATTGTATAAATCATCACTGCAGAAGAGCATGAGAATTACATTACTAACAACTTCTTGAAGGCATCTTTATTCTCTTTAATCAAATAAAATAGCATCTCATCACATTTCATAAATAGTAAAGTTTGATAAAAGCTCAATATCAATAGCTATCTGACTGACTATTCAGAGAGTCAGTGATTTTATTCTCAATATATCAGTATAAATCTTCATATAGTCATTTTTACCCTCAATTCTTTCAATTAGCTTCTCATATAATCATCTCTATGTGATATTGCCGCTTTATTACAGATATCTACTTTACAACATATGTAAAGATCTTTAAATCATTTAAAATAAGTTTATAACTATTGAACTTGCTCTATTTAAAAAACTCTAACAGTTAAACATTTAGCGTTGAACTTTTACTCTTTCGGATAACTAGTTAATTTAGCAACTCTTAAATATTCTAAACTCTATAAATACTTAGTAACTTTGTATTTATCTATAGTTAGATAAATATAAAACTAAAATCCTGATAAAATAAAGTTTTAAAAGTCCCTCTTAGACCTTGATCAAATTATCAAAAGGTTATCAATATGAAATGATCAATGTCCTTATTATGAAAAAGTAATATCAGCATATATTCATTGCAAATGAGAAAGAGAAGTAAAAACATAAAAGGTCTACACACCGGGTTCAATCTGAGAAGGGTTTAACCAAGCAAGAAGCCCCGGATCTTATTATTCCTTCCACCTTCTGAGCCTGTTGAACAGCCCATCATTCAATCCCGCGAGTTTCCATCCCCCGAGCCTATGCTCCGCTCATGAGCTCCACCACCGTGCAGCAAATGCGGTTCTCTCAGGCATACAAGATCAAGATGTTCAGAACCTAGTGTAATTTAATTCAATTTAATTAGTGGTTGTTGCGCATACATAATTCAAGTTAAAATCTATAACCATGTTGTCCACGTATGGGACCTGGAAAATGTTCCTGTCCTGGGTAGTTATTTGTCTTGGGTTTCAAAGCCTCTGTGTCAACTATGGAGCCTTCGCTCGCATGGGAATTACGTTAACATGACTGGAAACAAGACTGGAAAATAATCGGGGCATGGGGAACGCGATCAAGTTCCGATACATAGTGCATCATAACATAGGAGACGCATGGAATCTTCCAAGGTTCACCTTAGAAGATTGCGAACGCTCGTTCCATTGCATTATGGCCAATCTTCCCGTTTGCGTCCAATTTGGATTTTGAGAAGGCATTGCGACTTGTGTGGGATCATCTTCACTGAGGTGAAGTGGAGATTATGGCATTCGTATTAGCTGGATACTTTCACGGTGAGGGGACGATCTTTTTATTACGAATAGTTAAGGAAAGATGGGGGTTGGTAGTTGATGTAGTTATGTACGTGCTCTGTTGGTAAAGAGTAGTAGTTCGTAAATAGGCTAAGAAAGGGAGAAAAGGAAGCTTCATAGAAACGACTCTTCTGCCGCGTGAATGAATATTTGCTTCAACAAAAATAATTTGGTCCTGTCACTTGACTGAGTAACAGGATAAAAATAAAATTATCAGTGCGCAAAAGCTTCTTCCTCCAAACCTAGCTATTGATGTGACTCGAAATATTACGTCAAGATACTTTGTACAGATTCCAAGACTAGAAATAAAGTTGGGCACTTACTGATAATAGCTACAGATATCATGGGAGGCGTACTCTTTCTTGAACAGAAAGTCCTGCGTTGTCGCCAGCTTGATTTGTTCCTCCGTATTACCGTTCTGATAACGGCTAGATCCTGGATATGAGTGCATATGTTCAATGGGCACAAATGCTAGTGAGTACCTAGGTAGCCAGCTTGGAGCAAAGAAAAGGTCGAGCGTCCCAGGTCATTGACCCAAGGAACATTTACGCAGAAGTGGTATCTATCTGCTGCTTGTTGGGGGCGTCGGAGGTTTTGAAAATGCTTACGATTTGGAGGCTTTGTTCAAAACTCCGCACAGAGTTTTGACCCCCATGAATTTGAAGCCTTTCGGGATTGTTCAGATCGAAGATCAACAGCACCAAGGCGTCATTGGCCAATATTGAGTGGCTGTGTTATGGCTGGGGACATGATATGGATGATATACGATGGCAGGTGATATCGAAATCCTCTGGGACGGGATGAGGGAGAGGATCCACATTTGAGTGAGACAAGCTTTCAGCGAAGGGCATTAGAGATGAAGAAAAGGTGAGAGGAGAAAAATCTTCACATGATTAATGTTGGGATGGCGAGTGTCAGTTGCTGTCTGTACATTACTTACATTACTGTATATTTTTACTGCATATTCATGTGTCGTAACTGGCTGGTGGGAAGTTATTTGGGTTGCTGGAAGAGTCTGAGGAGGCTGAACAACCCAAATGTGATAAGCCTTAACCCAAAAATGCTCAGCTGGAGGGTCTAAACCTCGAAAACGAGGAAACACGTGTAAAAGGGCCTTGGTGTTGGCGGGCTGTCCGCTGCGATTAATGTTACGGTTTTTGCTTGGGTTATTGTAACTAGAGGCTGATGCCTGAATGGGGCATGAGACAGTACCCTTGGAATAATAACCAACATAACTAAACTGCCTTGGTAGCTCCGAGCCTCTGGGAGGTATGGAAAGCCGAATCAGAAGAACAGGCGACATCAAGACTGCTCAACTCAAAGACAGTTAAAGACAAGCTCCCCCAGTTTAACCCAGTCTTGGGCACTATAGCGCTAAATTTTATCAACCAAAACCAAAACCTCAACTTCTGGACCTTGGAAGACTCGTCTCGAGTCGCAGCCAAGTTTCTCTTGGCCTGATTCCTTGCAACTACACATTTCTTTTTTTTTTTTTTTTCTTTCTTTATTTTTTGTTAAATATATATTATTATTTTTGTCTACCCTACTATTAATTCCCCCGTGAAAACTGTTATCTGCCGTTGAACATTTCTGGCTCTCCTCTTGAAACCCACCGCTACCTAGGTTAACCGTACTCACCCCTCGCTGCTCTACCGTCTGGGATTAGTGACTTGTTTTCAAGGTGGCTGTTTGAGGGGAAATGCTTCGGATCGCTTGACCAACGTCGGGAGGTTTCCGGTCAACCGCGTGCCATTTTCGCCCTCAAAACCCATCGATCAACCCAAGTACATTATTTCATTCACTGGGAACTGTGGCATTTTGATCTTGGTGAGCAAATAAGGACGCTGTTTGGCAACTGTAGAGAGCCCTCTTATTGCATCGCGGAACAGAGAGCGCAAGTTGCGTTGAAAGCCGGACCAGAAGGATATTTTTGGATATTCTGCCGGAATTGTGGATCGAAGAGTTGGGAGGGACTGTCCTCCTCTTGGAGGCTGTCTCATTTATTCCAGGTGGTCGTGATGGGTCGGATCGGTTTAGAAACGGCTCACTCGCATGGTTGCCCGGCTTTCGGGGGAAAGTGTTCCACTGCCAGGGACAGGCGGCGGCAGAACCCACATCAACAGCAGCAATGTAGGGAATCCGATTACTGTGTTGATGGATGGATGGAGTTTCAGCGCTTTCGGATATCGACTCGACGAGGGCGACGAAGACGACGAAAACCCGTGGGGTTGGGTACTAATGCGATGATATTGCTGTTGTCGATGTTCATTGCTCTCGCAACACCTCTAGCAAATGCAGCTTTCGTTCAATTCGAGAATTGCCTCCCGCAATCCATCATCCACTCCAATCCCCTCCAGCTCCAGTTCGTGCCAATGTTTGTCTGGGCTGAGTTTAACCTCACTTCAGAGGCCAAAAATCTAAATGTGACGGTGTACGGGAATGTCACTGGGATTGCGACGCAGGAGCCCTATCCACCTCCGGATTCCCCCGGCTGGTCGAATCCAGATAACACCGTTGGGAAGATAGTTGATGTCGATGTTCAAAATAACATGCTGTCCACCATATTTACTAGATTTGAATTCCTCAGCTATACCCCATATGTCGCCCCTCCAGCACGGTTCTGCAACTCCTTGGTCCAAGGACAGTGTCCGCTGGGACCTGTTTTTTATTCTAATGGGTATGAATCCCCTATCGATATACTCACCATATATACACATATATATAGCGTCACCTTTGGATAATCGATTAACGTCTGTGATTATAGAACTCCTCCGGAACTACGAGCTTTTTCCGTTTCCCATGATCTCTTTTCCTCTTATTCCTTCACGACGATAACGCCGTTGATTACAGTAACCTCCGGCAATGCAGCCAGGTCATTGGTCGTTTGCGTGTCCGCAGATGTCACCCCGAGCTTAGGATCCTCACTAAACGACACAGTCAGATACTTGCCCCTTGTCATTCTTATTTTGGTCGGTGTCGCCACGGTAGCGGCGGCCATGTTCAGTCCATGGGGCTCGCTGGATTTCTTTCGATGGACTTCCAATTACGGACGAGACGAGGACTTGCTTAGACTTGTAACCCCCGGATTCGCAGACTGTTTACAATATATTCAATTTATTGTTCTAACCGGGTCACTTACGTTGAATTACCCAGGATTCTATCAACCTATCGTAAGCCGGATAGGATGGTCTGTCCTCATGTTCAATCAAAGTTTCGTGAGCCATGGAAATGGCACACAGCCACTCCAGGATGGAGTGTACGTTGCCAACGCAACTTACGGTTTGGATAGAATGCGCCAGCTTATTGGAATGTCTTCTGTGAAGGATATTTGGGCGGGGATGGTTGTTTGGCTGCTTGCAATTCTTGGGTGTGTTGTGCTTCTCATCCAGCTTGGGTTCGGGCTTCGATGGCTTCACCATCAGGTCACTCACGAGCCGGAGGAAGATCTACGCGCCAAAAACTTCCCGTTCACCATGGGCAACGTCATTCGGATCATTTTCAATTTTTTCCTCTTACCCATCGTGTCGCTATCTATGTTTCAGCTCGTCGTTACTCGTAATTCTCCTATATCTACGGTTGCTTTGGCCGTAGTGCTTCTCGTTTGTCTGGTCGTATTTGCTGCTTGGTTATTGCTGCTGATCACCCAAACTCGTCCAAGGTCATATATGTTTGATGACCTTCCGACGGTTCTTCTTTACGGCCCGTTGTATAATACGTTCTCCGATAGTGCCGCCGCCTTCTCCGTGGTCTCTGTCCTTCTCACATTCGTGCGCGGAATCGCAATCGGAGCTGTTCAACCTTCAGGAATTGCACAGATCGTTCTCCTGGCCATCTGTGAAGTTGTCCTTATCATAACCTTATCAGCATTCCGTCCTTTCGCACGGCCAACATCTATGACCTTATACCATACCATTTTTGCCGTCGTTCGCTGCATTACAATGCTTTTGAGTGCTTCCTTCGTTCCGTCCCTGAGGGTTGGTCACGCAGCACGAGGTTGGATTGGATATGCCATCCTTCTGATGCATGGGATGGTGTTGACTTTTGGATTCTTTCTGAATGCTATTCAAACCCTGGTGGAGGTGCTTGCTCGGCTTGCTGGTGCTGGCGGTGAGGGTGGGGTTGAAGGTGGTGCGGCAAGGGGTGGGCTGGTGAAGGTATGTATTTGCTCTAATAAAATATCATCGCCCGTTGTGTAAGACAACCCATCTGTGGTTGTTGCTTCTGATTTATACACTCGATCGTTGACAGCTCCTTTTCTAGGTCTTTGGTATGCGTCAACTCTCTCGACGAGTCCCGCAACGGCCTCATCATGTTCCTCGTCACAGCATGAACTCAGAAGCAGCGATGCTAGGATCAGATCGAGAAAGACTCTCATCTCACTTAGATGGCGATAGAACTCGAAGCTTTTCTACGAGTTCAGCACTGTTATTGAACCGGTCTGTGGCGACTGAGAATCGGATGAGCGCTGGTTTCGAGGCCAGCAGCATTCATGGAATAGGCCATAGCCGGGGAAGTGGGAGTGGACCATACACGCCTTCAACTCCAGGGGGTATCTCACCTATGGTACTTCCTGGCCAACAGTCGGGAGATGGTGGATCACCGCGAAGCGTGATGGTGGGTACGAAGAACGATGCTGGCCCGTACTATCGTCCTCCGAGGCAACGACGGGCTACCCTAGATGGGATGTTACCTAGCAGTCGCAAACATAATTCCTGGACAAGTGGTGACTGGACCAGAAGACAATCGGGCAGCAATGCCGACGGTGAAGATGCTGATGCTTATTATGGCCCCCCTCTAGCCGGAAACAGCACTCCAGTCCCAGCTTACCTTGGAGCTCCTAGAGATGATTCGGACGCTGACATGGACGAGCCTGGTCGCCCAAGGACGGATTATGCTGTCCGAGAAGTCGACTTTTATTATCGCGTCCGAGGCCCTGCTCTGTCCCGTGCCGCAACTCGAAAACTGAAAACCGGTCCAGCCGATCCTACTGGCCCCGTATCTTCCGCGACTGGCTGGTTCCGTAGACTTTTCCGTGGGAAGACAAGGGATAAAGGCAAAGGCTTCGAAGTAGTCCGCAGCACGAGAGCCCCACCACCAGGATTGATGCCACATCCGGAGCAAGCGCAACCCTTCCCAGAACCATATCACGACAAACCCGATGCCACAAAAAATCCCGAGTTGGATGTAACACAGCAGACTCTTAGTAATTCGGATACCTACGAGACTCCTGATGAAACGCCCAGATATGAATCGAAAATACAAACGGATGTGACACCCCCCTCATTACCTTCCATCGAGGCGAGTGGAGATATCGAGCTTCCGCATCGCACAGGCTCAAAAAGCGAAACCTATGGACAACAAGACCTTGCGATTCTCCCTCCCGCCATCCCCCGTAAAAGCTCCAAACGACACTCCTCAGCCGACTCAGCAGACCGTACACTTGAAATAGGAATACCACCCCCGTCTTCCTCCGACGGCAACCAAGAGACATCGATGGACAACAATTTAAGCACCCAAGGCCCTCAGCCCCAATCACAAGCAACCACACAACCCACACGGCTCCCCTTTGGCTCAAAATCCCCCTCAGTGCGAAGTGAGTTCGTCTCCACCAGATCAGCCAGCTCCAGCATCCAGAACACAACGGACGACGAGAACAACAGCGGTAGTAGATCTGATAATAGACGACAGGTTTCGTCACCGTACATGGTATCTAACCGTCGTCAGGGTCGGCCTTCGAGTGTGGGATTTGTCCCAATGCACCGTGCCAGTGATCACATACATGTTAGTGACAGCACGCCGTTTTCTGGAAGTTCGGCGGAGATTGTTGGGGAGCCTTCTTCCTCTCCTTCTATGTAAACTTATACATAAAAGAAGATAGGAAAAACGAATCACCACGTTATACGGACGAAGAATATTATGGGAATTATCTTCAAGTCTGTAGTGCAGGTCAAAAGGACTCTTGGAATCTTAGTGCATGTTTCCCGTACCCCCCTTTTCTTTCTTTCTCACTCTCTATGTTTCTCGAGTGTGCTTCTTTATCATTGTGCCTAATCTCTGCACACGATAGTAACTTCTGACGAATTTCCTTGTCCTTTTTCTCTTCATTTGCCATACTTTCATTTCATTTCCCTTTTATGTTTCTCAGAATGGCGTATTTGGAGGACAGGATTTCTCTATATGAGTCCAAGTGTTTAAATTTGGGACGGACGGGCGCGGGGCTTGTACTTTTCATCCTTTTAACAAGTATTTTCATTATAGTTGTATTAGCATGCTTTGTAGTCTTACTCCTTTTCCTTTTTCCTTTCTTTCTTTCTTTTTTTTTTTTCTTTTTTCTTTTTTTTTTCGGCGCTTGTCCTTTTTAATCTTATTGTTCTTGGTCGACAAAATGCATGCTGTTGTAATTATGATAGATAAGGGAAAAAATATTGAATCTGGTTTTGTTCATTTTGGGCTCCTTCTCATTTGTTTCACATCAAGAAGCGAGCAGGACATCTTATCTTCGTAGCCGTACCTAGGAAATGGCTATTATTATCCACTCCGTTCATAGTCATCATAAGACATTCCACTGATAAACTTTTATATGGGCCCCCCTCTCCCGAAGGTCCCATACAAACTTCCCGATTTGGTTTAGCGCGGTTCCAGCCTATCCATCAACCTTCCAACACTCAAACCATCATTCGTTAAACATCGCCAACCTCATACCGAGAGCCACGTATATATAGGTGTACTTCCGATCGTGCTGTGTATCTCTCTCTCTTTTGCAGCTGAGCCCAGGAAGTCACATATCATAATATCTTGGTCCAATAGTTGTCTTGCAGCTCTAGATTCTCGGTGACAACGGGCTCCCGCGTGGCAAAACCCAAGCAACTAGTTAACCCTTAACTAACCGACATCAAACCCCCCCAATTCCAGTCAGTTGACTTTTCCCCTCCTGCATGCCTGAGACACCTTGATTGAGAGAGGCTGAGAAAGATTGGATCTCCACGCATGACACAGAACTGACCTCCTTTGCCCTTGAGTTTTCTATCCTCATCATCGCCTGGCACGATTATTCAATGCCAGATTTACGCGGCAGTAAGGCTAACAGTTCAGTTTCCTCAATTGCTCATTTCAGCGTGTGACTGGAGAATCTTCATACCCTCACGAGGCGGACACATACGAGAGCCCGAATCCAGCACCACAACGTCCTCGGGTTCTGCCCGCCTTGGTGCTGGCAGGAACTCGGAAACGAGGTCAATAACAGCCAAAAGGGACGACTCATCCACACCGAGACATATCATCCGTAAAATTTAACGTCATCACCAGCATCACCTTTTGAACATTCCGCCGTTTCTCCCTTATATAGCGCCTTTACAACTGTTTTCAGATCCGTGCCAACCTGGAATATCATCGATATATAGCCAATGACGTTGAATCGTCGTCCAAGCGACGGAGATTGCTCTCATCTCCTACCTCAGGTAGAAAACAAACATCATTTCTAAAGTTCTTCCGCTGCGACCCAGACCGGCGTTGCTGCACTCGATGTCATCCCCAGCATCCGGTTCCGCGTCACCGTTGCCATCCTCCTCCACATCGAACCCCGCTTCCTTTGGTGTTCCCCTCATCCCATGCACATCCAATGAGGGCCCCCGTTCCAATACTGCAACCACCCCCATCCCATACGCCTCCGCCTCCGCCTCCGCCTCCGCCTCCTCTTCTTTCACCTCCCGGAACTCGCTTCGAAGAGTCAGAACGACACCGGCTGTGTTGGGAGATTCTCAGGGTGTATCGCCAAGTGTCACTTCTGGACATACTCTGTTAGAATTTTTGCAGAACGAAGGCCCAGAGAATGCTGATAGTAGACAAGGGCAGGAGGCGGGTGATGCACGGAATATCAGTGCTACGAACTTGGAGAGAAAGAGAAGGCTGACAAGCACTAGCGACAGCACGGGGCAAAGTTACCCTAACGGTCCTGCACCTTCGGTTGATTCTGGCTCGTCGAGACCGCGTCCGGGACCTTCTGTGACGCCTTCATGGAGACGCAGCAGTCTAGGGATTCCGGGGAGCTCGAGTGGGAATGCGATCGACCTGTCAGCGTCTCCGGAGTCGGTGACGCGACAACTCAACTCGTTGCGGCATCGAGAGAACAGCTTCACGGATTATGATCTACCACGTTGGCAGTCTGATTCTGAAGTTTCCAAATGTCCCATTTGCAATACCGCTTTTAGTTTTTGGTACAGGAAACACCACTGTAGGAAATGCGGCCGGGTCGTTTGTGCTTCTTGTTCACCGCACAGAATCACCATCCCGCGTCAGTTTATTGTTCGCCCTCCAGAATCAGGCAGACAACTCTCAACGCTGCTCCAACCAAACCCTTCTCAGATTCAGATTATTAGTCTCCTTGATAACGTTGAGGAAGACACCTCTGCTACTTCTGGTGCGCATCTCAGTTCTCGTGGACAACAAATACAACAAAGAGATCGCTACCGGCCGAATTCAGCCTTGGGTGGTGGAGAAGAAGTTCGTTTGTGTAATCCTTGCGTTCCTGATCCTAACCCGGAGCCTCCCAGGCGATACACCAGCACTTCTGGCTCATTGTTGTCCGGTTCTGGACGACTTTCGTCCTCTCTTTCGACGTGGACAGATGATCATGCTGGGGTTTCCCATGCACCAACCAACCGCCATTCCGCATTCCCTGTTTACTATCGGCATGGCGTTGGACACCGACGCGATACCAACCATTTTCATCGTCCATCTGCTTCCCTCTCTGCAGCTGCAACTATGCCGCGGTCTCAAGAAGCGCGCGATCTCCGACGACAACGGGGTCGTGGCATGATAGTTAGTTTTGTCTCATACTCGGCTTTTTTTCTTTCCCTTTGGAACAACGTGGTATATATATGAGAACATATGTTGACTCTTGAACTCTAGTTTCAACCTGAAACTCCCGAGATTCAGCGAGCGGCCGCCCAGGAAGCGTTGACCGATGAAGGCTTGCCATCATACGGCAGCTTTGATTACACAGTTGTTCCAAATTTTCGCGGCATACCCCCTAGATACCAGTCAACGCAGCAGGTCGCTGGCGGCCAGCATCCGCGTTACTCACCCCCGGCATATTCGTTGCCTTCAAGCACGTCACCTTCAGTAGGGATTCCCCTTAAAACAGCCATTTCTTGGTTACAGATCATCCAAGGGATTATTTACCTCCATCGAGACATACGATTCACAAACATGAACTTGAACTAACGTAGTGAAAATAACCAGAACTCCCGCCACCACTCCATCCACACCTTCCCTCATTACATTCCCTCACACCGGCGTGGGCCATCCTCACCCTCGAGCCGGAACCGCCCAGTACCACCCGCATCCATCACCACCACCACTCGCCACCGTCCCCCGATCGACGAACGCGACATTTGCCCCGTATGCAGCCACATCCTCCCCCCACGAGCCGCAGATGGCAGTGAAGAAGCACGCGAAGCCCATGTCCGCGCCTGCATAGAAGGCCACGGACGACCCATCATCGACATTACTTCCCCTGGCAGCTCTGGTCATAGCACCTCACAACAAATTTCATCCAATCACGGCAGCAGTAATTCTAACGACCATGGCGATCACCACGCAGATCGTCCGCTGCGGATGCTGCCGTTTACGGCGACGGAGAAGGATTGTGTAGGCGAAGATAGCGGGCCGCAGGAATGCACGATTTGCATGGAGGAGTATGAAGTTGGGGATCCTCTGGTGAGGTTGGAGTGTTTGTGCAAGTTTCATAAGAGGTGTATTGTGGGGTGGTTTGAGAAGAAGATGGAGTGTCCTGTCCATAAGGTGAATTAGACGGGGGGGTAGCTATGCCTTGGTTTTCTATTCCTTTCTTTGATGTTCTTTAGGTTGGGCATTACTACATTGCTGGACTATGCATTGGCTATGTGTATGTTTTGATGCTCGTTTCTGTGCATATGAGTGGGCGTTTGGGGTTTATTTTATTTTATTTTATTATTTATTATTTATTATTTATTTATTTATTTATTTATTTATTTATTTATTTATGTCACTTCCCTGCTATGCCAGCATTAACCATTGGAGCTTTCGGGGCCCAGCTATGGGAGGAAGGGCAACGCTTTTGGATATTATGGATATACATTTCCCTTTGTATCTGGTGTATTCAGGTCAGCTTGCAATCATTGAAACCGTTCTAAATATTGATGGCCATCTGTCATCTCTTCTGTATGAAACCATTATCGTCGTATACAGAATATTCACTCTCATAGATTTCTGATAAATAATTGGCAAAAAGCAGCGTAAGTAAATAAATACATGGATAAAAAGTAACATGAAATATTTATTCGCATATTCCAAGCAGTTATTCTAGGCTCCCATATTCTATCTGCAATTATTGGCTTATTTACCCACAACCAGATTGAATACGAAAAACGAGCTACATTCTTCCGAGTCTCATTCTCGTTGAGTCAGCCCTGGTAGTTCAATAGACGAGCGTTGGTTATTTTCCGAGCATAACAACGTCGACCGTCATTCCTCGCCTCACAGCAAACTCCTCATCCTCCTCATGCTCCTCAACTCCCGTCTCTGTACTCTGTGTCTCTCTCTGTCGTATCTCTCCCGGTGCTGTACTCGACACTATCGACCATCGAATCGACATGTCCTGTGCCTGACAGGACCAAGCAAGCCCGCTCTGTTCCACATTTCTGCACTGGCGGCCTCAGGCATAATATGTCTGGCGCACACTATTACTGTTAATGTATGTATGTATTTTACCACAGAACTGTAGCTCGGGAGAAAGATGAAAATTGAAGAAAAAGACTATCAGCAGTTTATCTTGCTGACTCGCGATAGTAATAGAAGACTTGGAAGAGCCGTTGCTC